CGTGACCCCTTCACCTGCCCGGGGTTCCCCGTGACCCCTTCACCTGCCCGGGGTTCCCCGTGACCCCCTCTCCTGCCCGGGCTCCCCGTTACCCCGTCTCCTGCCCGGGCTCCCCGTTACCCCTCTCCTGCCCCGGCACCGCGCCCCTCGCCCTGGAGGTCACAATTGCCCGGGGTCACGTCAACATGCAGCCCCCGCCCGGGAGCCCCGTCCGTCTCTGTCCCGCGACCTCCTGTCCGCGGTGCCTGGGCCCGATCGCGGCTCTGCAGGCGTCTCTGCCCGCGTTGCCGCCTGTCGGCCCCGGCGAGTGAGGAGCGGGGCGCGGCCATGGGCACCCGCGGGCCCCCCGCGCTGCTGGACACCACGCCCGCCAAGACCATCGTGGTGTACCGCAACGGGGACCCGTTCTCCCCGGGCAGGAGGTTCGTGCTGCCGCGGCGCCGCGGCGCCACCTTCGAGGCGCTGCTGGAGCAGCTCACGGAGCAGGTGGACGTCCCGTTCGGCGTGCGCCGCCTCTTCACGCCCACGCGGGGGCGCCCGGTGCTGGCGCTGGACGCGCTGCAGGCGGGCGGCAAGTACGTGGCGGCGGGCCGCGAGCGCTTCAAGGAGCTCGAGTGAGTGCGCCCCGCGAACCCCAGCGTGGTCGGGCCGCGCTCCCCAGGCGTGCTCCCCAGGCACCCTCCCGGCCCGGGCGGCCCTCTTCCTGCGGGGACCCCTGCCGCCCGCGACGGGCCGCCCCGGGGCCACGTGGTTTCCCGCGGGCGAAGCCGAGGCAGCCCCGACCCCAGGGTTCCCTCTGACGGGGCAGGGCGGGCTCTGGCCGGCAGCGAATCGGGCCAGGGCGGCCAGGAGGGCGTGGGACAGAAACGGTGGGGAGGGCTGTGGAGAGGGGCCTAAGGGAGGGTGTGGGGAGGGCGTGGCGTGGGAGACGTGGGGGACGCGGCGTGGGAGACGTGGGGGGCGGGGCGTGGGAGACGTGGGGGGCGTGGCGTGGGCGACGTGGGGGCGTGGCGTGGGCGGTGTGGGACGTGGCGTGGGAGACGTGGGGCGGGGCGTGGGCGACGTGGGGGCGTGGCGTGGGAGACGTGGGGGGCGTGGCGTGGGCGACGTGGGGGCGTGGCGTGGGAGACGGGGGGCGGGGTGGGGGCGACGTGGGGGGTGGCGTGGGGAGGGGGGGGGCGTGGCGTGGGCGACGTGGGGGCGTGGCGTGGGAGACGTGGGGCGTGGTGTGGGCGACGTGGGGCGTGGCGTGGGCGACGTGGGGGCGTGGTGTGGGAGACGTGGGGCGGGGCGTGGGAGACGTGGGGCGGGGCGTGGAGACATAGGGGGCGGGGCGCGGGAGACGTGGGGGCGGGGCGTGAGCGGTGTGGGGGCGGGGCGTGGGAGACGGGGGAATGGCGTGGAGACGTGGGGGGAGGGGCGTGGGTGACGTGGGGGGAGGGCGTGGGTGACGTGGGGGCGGGGCCTGGGAATGGCGCGGGTTGGGCAGTTCCCGTTTGAAATCGCCCATGGTGGCTCCTCTAACTCTGTGTTCATCACTTCTCGGCCCTGCGTGCATTTTCAAGCTTGCCTTTAATGAGAATATTGTCCTCCACGGTTTGTGTCTGTAATCCCGTGATTGAAGCCTGTGTCTGCCTTTTGTGATCGCAGCCTCTTTTCTCTCCTGGTCCTCTGTTTCCCTGTAGGTTTACTTGCAGTTTGACTCTGAACTACTCCTTTTGTATAGCTTTATGTGGGGACATTATTCAAAGCCTGAGGTAAAAGTGAGATTCTCCGGAGAGGATTTCCATTTTCTTCTTTCAAATGCCAGGAATGCTCCTAGTTCAGAAACCCTCTGAATTAAATCAGCAGCTTGGGTTTTGTTTGGTATTTTTGAAAAAGTGGTAGGAGTTAGGGTGAGGGCTTGTGCATGGTTCCAAATTCTTAGTGGCATTTGCAAAGAAGCGAATTTACCATCCAGTTGTTTCTGAAGAAAAATCGTAAGTCACAGGCATCACAATTGTGAAGAGGTAGAATCTGGATTAGCACATTTCAGATTGAAATTTATTACTGTGATAATCCTGTTATGTATGAGAATTCATGGACAAAATTATATTCCTTTATAGCCATGTGATTTGTGATTATTTGCAGGGTTGGTCAGATGGTATGAACATCTATAACTGATATCCTGCCCAGAATCCAGCGTTAAGTGTTGTTTTACAATTAAAGAGTATATTTCTACAAAAACTGACTTTGAAGTCCTTTTCAATACATATATAATGAAAAGTATTTGATTTTTATCCCAAGATATTTCCTTGTAAAATTGGCCTATGTTTTGCGTGTTAGTAAATGGGGAAGGAAACCTGTCAAGCACCTGCCACGGAAGCACCTGCCACAGAAACACCTGCCACAGTCTGGAGCATTCCTGGGGGATATTACTCTTTCCCTTCCTGTGGGGCTAGGCGTTTCCTAACAGACCCTGCTACACCTCCAGTTTTGTAGAGAGAGTCTCCAGTCTCATGGTTTATTTAAAATGTTGTGGACATGTGGCAAATATATTGAGAAGACATTGAGATGTTTTCCTTCCCAGTGCTCTTCATGTTTCTGATGACTTTGTGGGAGGAAAGAGATGTCACCCACTGAAGAGGGAGAGGAGTTGGGGTCCGTGTGGCAGATGGCCTGGTTATGTTGCATTTTCCATGCATGCTCACTGCTGTAAAATAGAGGGGCCATGTCTGCATGTGAAGTTCAACACGGAGAGTACATGGGGTTCCTTTTCTTCAGTTTTTTTTAGGTCAATGAGTATGAAATTGGAATTCAGACTTTGGGGATCAAAGCTCTGAAAAATGTGGCTGGATTTTCACTGAATTTTCACTGGTATTAGTAAAGTAAACTAGCACTGGAAATTTATATTCTGTAATTGCTAAGCCGTTGAGCAGTTCAATTAATTTTCACCAGAACATAATACTCTAATTGTGTCACCAGCAAATGAACGTTGAAGTGAAGCCTGTTGATAGATTAGTGACCCGGGAGCCCCCTCCTCATAATAGTGGTTTCAAGATGGTGCATGAAAAAGAAACGCCAACAGATTTCTCCAATATCCAGTCATTATTCAGGCATTTCCTGCATTATCTGGAATACATTAATTTGAGACCCAGAGAACATAATTTTTTTCTTTATAAAACAAAATATTATAATTACTTTTCGAGAAAATTAAAAGTGTCATAGAAAGCCTAGAACTAATATTTCCTTTGTGGAGAAAGCCATATTTACAACAAAATTGAAATCAGGGTGTTGTGCATGTGCGTGTGTGTGTGTGTGTGTGTGTGTGTGTGTGTGTGTTTAGGGGAGGGACCCCAGAGAATCTGAATGTTTAGGAATATTACCCTGTTTGCCTTAGAGCTTGTTGCTTAGACATGAGTGTGAATGTGCTATTTGAATCAAACCATCCTGGTTCTTCCTCACCCCAGCATTTTCTTCTCATCTCCGCGGCCACCTGTTTGTACCCTGGGAACTAGCAGATGCCAGGAGAAAGAGGAAAAGTGGGTGGAGAGGAAGCTGCGATAGAGGAACGTTGGCGTTAGAGCCAGAGACTGGTGGAATTTAATCCTGGCTTTCCCTATCTGAGAGACGTTTCACTAGTTAAATAACCTCTCCGAGACTTGGTTTCCTCATCAGTAAAGCGGCCTGGCTTAACACCCACTCTACAGGACCGCTGGGAGAACAGAATGAATGCAGGACTGTGAAGTGCCTGGCCCTGGCTCTCTTGCGTGGTTTCTTCCCTTCCTGTGTTCTCTGGAAGTAGCCAGGAGGCAGCTTGCACCTAAGGGTCCCATCTCTGCTTCCCAGACCCACTCCCCGCCCACCTCAGGGCAACTCAAGCCCACCCAGCAGGCTTCTCTAAGCGCCCGGGTTAAAGACCTCAGGTGAGAGGCTCTCTGAGGAACTATGGTCCCTTTTTTCTGTTTGTGTATGTTCTTGGGAGTGCAACACTGAAATAATAAATAGCATTTTGTGTTTTTGAAGGATCTTTTTATGTGTTAGTTTTTCTCTGTTACATTTTATTTTTTGTTTCCATGTAATGAAAACCAGATGTCTCATGTGAATGATTAATGTTCATTTGCAAATATGAAGTTTGGGAACTTAGAACCAATCTAAAATATTTATTTGGAAAATAGGTGGACTAGACTGAGCTGTCGAAGCGCGGATACAAGGGCCCGTAAGCAAGTGGAGAGGCGCAGGCTGGCTCAGCCAGGAGCCGTGCTGGTTTCACTCATACAGTTTTCAAAGATTTGAGTTGGCTGCAACATTTTATAATTGGGAGAACTGATGTAATAATATGAACTTTTGGTCTTCCTTGAAAAAAACAGAGGATTTGTCTGTTCAGAGGACTTGGTTGTAGCTGTGCGCGTCTCCACCGTCTGGACCTGTGAGGCACTGTCCACCTCAGACGGAAAAGGACGCTCCCGCTAGCCACAGCCCCACCAGTCCCTGAGACCAGCCTGGGCGAGTGTCATCATTTGATGGGGACCTGCGTCTGTGCCTCTTGATTGGATGCTTATTTCTTTCCCTAAATTGACTCTTCAATTTTTTAGCAATAGTTTTATTGCTAAAACTATCAAAAATGATAATCTCAAATACATATATTTTTAAAATCAGGAATAAACCTTAATATTGCATATAAATTTGAGGGTATTATCTATTACCCATTAAAACATTTTATTTTTGAGGAATATGAAAGTCCCCAAAGTCCCCAACAGTAAAAAAATTGTGTTAATGGGACTCAGACACATTATGTGGTGGAGCCTCTTTTCCAGTTTGCAGTTTTGGCAAAAGGGGAAGTGTTGAATTTCTGGGAGCGAGGAGGGAGCAGGGGAGGTGCAGGGGAGCTGGAGGAGGGTCTGGGTTTCTGTTCCCACCTTAGCCTGTCGTGGGAACATTGATGAGCTCACAGTTCTGGGCCTTCAGTGATCTGCTTAGGAAATGCCGTTAATTAGATGATTTCTCAGGTTTCTCTTTAATAAGGAAAAGCAATGTCACTTAAGAAACACTTCAAAGGGGCAATGCTGATGGTGCCCAGAGTGAAAACTGTCCTAGCACAGTAATGCTGCTGTATTCTGACGGGGGTTCTAACACCGGGAAGGTTTTAGATTCTAGTTCCAAACTGCTGTGGGGTTGTATCTATTAAGCCCGAAAAGGACTCATCTCTGAGGAGTCTGAACTTGCTGTGTAACTATCTACCTTCTAATTATGTTTTCTTCTTTCTTCTTCTGCAGTTATATTCATATAGTTCCCCGAAAACCTGCAAAGATAAGGAAGTTGAAGGAAGTAAGTGCTCGCTTCTAACAACCAATAATGGAATAAATTGGACAACTTGGTAAAAATGGAAATGTCAGCGCAGAATAGTTGAAGTTTTACAGAAGCAGTGTTTAGCAGGGAATGCCTACAAGGACGCGCTGCTCTTGAAGTCAGAACAGGCTGTGCAAGCTTGTCATACGTGTCAAAGCACTTAAGTAACCAAGCGGTGGGAGGTAGTGAAGAGAGGCTCAGACGTGCAGAGGAGATAGTCATCTTAGAGACACGCCACGCAATTAATTAAAGTCTTCACTTTCCTTTTGTTTTGGGGGGGTTTGGAAAGACAGATATCAGGAAAAGTTATTTAGAGTTATGTAGTGCTGAAGCTAATTATAATGCTAAATTTAAAGATTTGTCGCAAGTTCTCAACCTTTTTATACTTGATAGACATTTATTAGGTCTACAGGACAGAACATCCCATGACATTGTTTGTATCACTTGATTCTTAGTAAAACTAACCATTTAATTTGTTTAAAGAGACATGCTTTTTTGGTAAGCAATAAAACCACAGTTTTAAGCCAGATGGCCTGTTGATATTTAGAATTTAATGTATTTTTTACTTAAAAAATGGACTTACTTTGTGGAATATTACATGGGTGAATTATTTTGAGGGCATCTACTTCTCTAAGTTGTGATATTGCTGTTCGTACACTTCCTCACCTGTGTAGTGGGGATGATAATTGATACCTCAGAAGCTCGTTGTAAGGACTAAATGATAAAATATTCATAATGTGCCAGCACTAGGTAAGGGCTTCCCTGCCACATCTTACAGAAGGTGCTCTTCTCTGTGTCTTTGGAGCGCCACCCAGGGCTCCATGCGGGACACACCAGCAGCCCCAGCGCTGCTCACAAACACCAGCTTCTGGAAGCGTTCAGCTGCTTTCTTGGAGCCTGCCCTTCAGGGCAGTTGAAATAAGTCAAATTTATTACTTTACTCACCTCAGGTTGTAACTTGCCAAGGGCACGAGGGCAAGTTTCCAATAAGACAGCAATCCTGGCAGTCACTGAATTTCAGGGCTCCCTGAATAAAGAGCGTGGAAATGATTTGTGGTCGTCCTGACACCTCTGTCCCTGCTTCTGCTCTCCGTGTGCAGCTGGGAGTGGGATTAAGTCACAATTCTGGAAATTACCCTCGAGAACATTTAGAGTGTGAGTCTCAGTTCATCCTTTAAATATTTCAGTGATTTAAATAAGATATGACTTAAAAGGCAGTATATCAGGATGGGGGAATTTCAGACTATCTTGTGAAAACTTGTTTTCTCATAGAGGAAGCCTTGGTCTACAGAAGCGAAACGCTGGGCAGGCACGCGAGGATTTCCACACCCACGCAAGCCTTGTCGTCCTAGGGCGGGCACTGGGCTGCTCGGCACTCACTCTATGAGGCTACATTACCCAAAAGAGTTTAAACATGTTTTATTTTTGAATTTCTACTTTGTTCTTTTAAAAAATGTGATTATAAAAGTAGTTCCCGTTGAGAGAAGTATCAAGAATACTGTGCAGAAAATTACAACTACAATGAGACACCATCTCATACCAGCCAGAATGGCCCTTTTAAAAATCATTTTATATATTTTTCTTCAACTTTTAAGTTCAGGGGCACATGTGCAGGGCGCGCAGGTTTGTTACACAGGTGAACATGTGCGATGGGGTTTGCCACACGGATCATCCCATCACCAAGGTATTAAGCCCAGCACCCATTAACTGTGCTTCCTGATGCTCTCCTACCCCCCACTACAGACACCAGTGTGTGTTGTTCACCTCCCTGTGTCCATGTGTTCTTATCATTCGGCGCCCGCTTGCAAGTGAGAACATGTGGTGTTTGGTTTTCTGTTCCTGCGTTAGTTTGCTGAGGATAATGGCTTCCAACTCCATCCATGTCCCTGCAAAGGACATGGCCTTACTCTCTTTTATGGCTGCATAGTATTCCATGGTGTATATGTACCACATTTTCTTTATTCAGTCTGTCATTGATGGACATTTAGGTTGGTTCCATGTCTTTTCTGTTGTGAATACTGCTGCAGTGAACCTATGTGTGCATGTATCTTTATGACAGAATGATTTATATTCCCTTGGTTGTATACCCAGTAATGGGGTGGCTGGGCCAAACGGTATTTCTGCCTCTAGGTCTTGAGGAACCACCAGGCTGTCTTCCACAATGGTAGAACTAATTTACCTCCCACCAACAGTGTAAAAGTGTTCTCTTTCTCCACAACCTTGCCAGCATCTGTTGTTTCTTGACTTTTTAATAACACCAAATGGCTATTTTTAAAAAGTCAAAAAACAGAAGTTGCTGGTGAGACCATGGAGAAAAGGGAATGCTTATACACTGTTGGTGGGAATGTAATTAATTTAGCCACTGTGCAGGGCCATTGGAAGTTTCTCAAAGAGCTTAAAACAGAACTACCATTTAAAAAGAAAAATAACCAAAAAGACACATGCATTCATACATTAATTGCAGCGCTATTCACAATAGCAAAGTCATCGAATCAACTTGTGCTCATCAGTGGTGGATGGATAAAGAAAACGTGGTACATATACACCATCAAATACTACACAGCCATGAAAGATCAAAATCGTGTCCTTTTCAGGAACATGGATGCAGCTGGAGCCATCATCCAAAGTGAATTAACGCAGGAACAGAAATGAAATACTGCATATTCTCACCTACGAGTGGGAGCTGAACAGTAGGTAGTCATGGGTGCAAGATGACGGCAGTAGACACTGGGGGCCACTATGAATAGGCGGGGGAGGGAGGCAACGGGGCAAGGGTTGAAAAATTAACTATTGGATACTATGCTCACTGCTTGGGTGACAGAATAAATTATACCCCAAACCTCAGCATCACACAATGTACTCATGTAACAAACCTGCACAGGTACCCCCTGAATCTAAAAGTTGAAATTATTAAAAAATATACTGCACAGGAAAGCTCAATGAAGAGAATGAAAATAATTACCAATAGATTACCAAAGATTACCGCTTTGCATTTTGTCATGTCTATTTCTGCTTTTCTATGCACAGGGAGCAAATATAGGTACACAAACACACATGTATGCACCTACGTATAGACATATATGTTTCCAGAAACAGGATTCAATAGTACTCTTTTCTCATCTGCTTTTTATTTGCCATGTGCCATGACCATTTTCTAATTGTAAATGTCCTTTTGCAGCACGATTTTTTAATGCCTGAAAACTATTCCACCATGTGAATTTATCGTAATTACTTAGCCCAACCTCTTTGAGCACACTTTGCCTTTTTGCTATTTTAAACAGTGATATAATGTAATGGACTCCTTGTAGAGACATGTTTGTCCACATTAATGATTATTTATAGAGAAGTAGAATTATCATGCATAATTTTAATGTCTTTACTATTTACTTCTGGACTGGCTCCCATAATATTTCTAAAAACTCACGTTGCTTGTGAGGATGGAGCAGTATCATGTCAGCGTGCATGGCCTGGACGTGCCTGATGCTCATGATCCGCCCCCGTTTTCTTTTGTGGAAGTAGTCACCCCTTAAAAGTGTTTGCAACTATTATTGTTTGTTGTGTAAACGCTTGTCTTGGTGGGACAAGCATTTGCTTGGACACAGGTCAGAGGTGGACCCAACCCTGAATGAGTTGGAGCCATCGCCGAGAGCTTTGGCTGACACACATGATTCACTCCAGGAACTCTGCTGAGCCTGGAGGGGACCGTAAGAGTAGCTGAGATTTAGAGCTGTGTCCTGCTGCCGCACATGAGGACACAGAGCCAGCCAGTCACAGGACCGAAGGCTGCCTGCCACTCCCAGTGGCGTCACTACTATTTACTAAACCACAGTTTTCCTGCCTTGTGGCTTATGGCCATGCACCTATGATCACAGAGACAGTATAAAACCTAATGAGCTAAAAGGCTTGTCGGCCAGTGCCATGGCTCACACTTGTAATCCCAGTACTTTGGGAGGCCAAGGTGGGAGATTTACTTGAGCCCAGGAATTCTAGATCAGCAAGACCCTATCTCTACAAAAAGTAAAAAAAAAAAAAAAAAAAATTAGGCAGGCATGGTGGCGCGTGGGAAGCTGAGGCAGGAGGGTCACTTGAGCCCAGGAGTTTGATGCAGTGAGCTATGATTGCACAACTGCACTCCAGCCTGAGCAACAGTGAAACCCTGTCTCAACAAAAAAGACTTGCCTTTGTTTGTTTTCTTTATGTTCCAGAAATAGAAATGCTTTGGTCAGATGCCAAGTGCTAGGACTGTATGGGTTTCTTTGTGAGCCCTCCATGCCATTGATTTTGTACGTGACCATATTCAGGCAACCAGGGCTGAGAGGCCTGCATGTCACACTGGGCATTGGAGAGCCATGTCAGTCCTTGAATGCTTCATCACCGTGTTCAATGTCCTGAAGTTTCTTCTCTTTTAACGTGGAATGTTGTGTGGCTTATGTTCTCAGCATGTTTTCACACCTATAGTCTCATCTACAAAAATGGAAAAACAGCAACTGTGCGAGTGAGGCAGAGTGGGCCTTAATACCTGCCATTTAAAAGAGGAATAAGGAGTTCAAGAAAGGTGAGGCACCATCTGCAGTTGGGAGGCTCGTTTGCAGTAGAGCTTGGACTAAAACCAAGCATTCTAGGAATTATTCCAGGATTTCTCCCACTCTTTTCCCAGGGAAAGACCCATGACTGCTTTTGTACAACTTGCTAGTGTTAAATGAATTTCTTCCATTTAATTCATAGAATTAAGTCACCGCAGGAGTTTTTTTCTGATAGATGTTCAAGCCCTTACATCACAGAGAGAACCCTGGTGTGCAGTGGCAGCGGAAGGCACCCCCTGGTGTTTTAAGTGAAGGTACAAAGCAGTTCTCCCAGGGAAAATGCAGGAAGCCAGCAGGATGGGGCACAGTGTTCTCCAAGAACCACGTGAGGAGCTGGGGAAGCTTCTGTAGGAAGAGCACCAGGATGAGGGCCTTCCCCCTCTGCTGCTCCATCTC